GTTCTATCAGTGGCCTTCTCCCCTGACGGGCAGACGATAGCTTCCGGCTCGTGGGACAAGACCATCAAGCTCTGGGATACCAAGACCGGCATGGAGCTGCAGGCGCTCGAGGGCCATTCCAATTGGATTTCTTCAGTGGCCTTCTCCCCTGATAGGCAGACGATAGCTTCCGGCTCAGTCGACAAGACCATCAAGCTATGGGATACCAAGACCGGCATGGAGCTGCAGACGCTCGAGGGCCATTCCGATATGGTTCTATCAGTGGCTTTCTCCCCTGACAGGCAGACGATAGCTTCCGGCTCAGGCGATAACACTATCAAGCTCTGGGATGCCAAGACCGGTACGGAGCTGCAGACACTCAAGGGCCATTCCGCGTCGGTTGGATCAGTGGCCTTCTACCCCGACGGGCAGACTCTGGCCTCCGGCTCAGGCGACAACACCATCAAGCTATGGGATGCCGAGACCGGTACGGAGCTGCAGACACTCAAGGGCCATTCCTTGTCGGTCAGTTCAGTTATGAACGAACCCAATTTCAATTCCCATTCTCAGATATCTTTATCGAATGCTTGGGTCGCCCTAGGAGGTGAGAATCTACTTTGGCTTCCTGCTGAGTATCGGCATTTTGCTTGCCATGCTGTGAAGGACGCCACACTTGCTCTCGGGTATATGAATGGTCGCGTTTCTATTATAGGATTCCATACGCCGTAGGTTGAAGTTCTTTACATTCAACTTAGGTCTCTTATTTTCTAATATCTTTGGAAAAGAAGGGTCTTAGATAGCTGATGCTTATATACAATATAAGTAGTCTCTAGCGATATCTAGATAATTCCATAAATATAGTCAGTTTGCCATTCAATATTAATCCAGATGTTTCCATACGGAGAAAAATATAGCTATATTACCTATAGGGACGGGCGGGTCTGCATAATAGGATTCCACTCGTAGATTAGAATCACTTGAGTCTCTTATTTTCTGATCTCTTTGTAATAAAAGGGCCTGGGATAGCTCAGATTTATATACAATTTTCGCCTTTGTAAATAGGACCTATCCAGTGATTTCTATATAATTCTGTAAATATGGCCAACTTGCCACTTACTCTTATTCCAGATGGTTCCAAGTCAAGGGATAAAAGCCGAAATTACTGGGCTATATGTTTTATGTAATATTACATGTCAGTACAGGACGCGGCACTGGTCAGGAGAATCATTATTCCATTCCATTCCAAATACGGTTAACCTAGCTTGGTTTCACACTAGGGTTACTGAAACAATCAAATAGTGTAAGTGGTGACACCGGTATCCGGACACTCTGTACAACATGACTTTGTCTGTTTACTTCCTCTTCATCTTCAATAAGGATAGCGGAATCTGCCCACCGTAGTTAGTATTTTAATTTTACACTAGATTAAATCAGACATTTCTTACCGCGGCTATTACCGGCTCGAGGAATATACAAAGCACCTGGAGTCGCCAATCTATCTCTTGAGATACTGGACCTGGTAGCGGAATAACATGGGTTGTCATGATGCGAAGGTAGCACTATCGGCGACTGGGAGACTCGAGCCCCTGGACATTATAGGAGATGGTTAGCTGGAATTGGAGATTTGTATATAATCACCTACTCGAAAGCCGTTCCACGTCCGATGAGTAAAGTTCTCGGATCACCATATGGTATAACACTGTCACGTGTTCTCTCATTCAGGGTAGATGTAAGTTAACTAGATGTTGTTGAGTAGAGATTATGATCATGAAAGCTTCCTAAGAGGGAGCTTATGATACTTTATAAACGCGAATATAGAGATAGAAAGTAGTAGCTATTTATAAAGTATACAGTACTAGAATTAACTTTTATACTCTACATTCTTACACGACCAGAACTTTATTTAAACTATTAATTTAGAATTCTATTTTATGACTGGCTTAGGTTCTTTGCAAAGAATTTCTGATAAAAAAAAGAATAATTTCTTTCTAGCCAATCCGTATATCGCTGTATAGTAAATAGAACAGTCGGAATATATATATCTTGATCTTATTTCTTCCATCACTATTTATATTAGTTGTTCTATTTTGGGGTTAATCTGTGGAATATATAGTATGTAGTATCTTAGTGAGTGGAAAGGGGAGCTTTTTCATCTGCTTGATCTTATCCTTTTCTATCTCAGCTAGCTACTACCAATTCCTCGGCGTTGTGGGCCCCCGCTTACCGGCCCCGGAAGAACCCATATTCCTGGGCCCTAAGGCCAGACGGAAGCCCTCACCAACATAGTATACTTTATCCTAAGCTTTTCTTACTCTGTTAAGCGTTCATTATTCTTGCGGTGACTAGGTATGTGCTTATAAACTGTTATTATCTAATAGAGGATCACTCCACATATTATGACAAGAAGACGACTAAGGTACATAGAGTCAGGCTCACGTATTTAGCAATCACACTCTGGTGGTGTTAGTCGACGTGAAGCACCCAGTTGCCTTACAGGTGTTCCAATCGCCGTATAACCTGGGGGTCCGGGAGGTACATCCTTGTATATTGGGGGCACCTCTTTATCCCAGCTAATGCCGAGTCCGCTGCGCTCAGAGATGCGCAAACCTGAACACATACGAAGCACAATAGCAGGGCCCGACGCTGCAGCTATCCAGGTATTGCGCTCCGCAGCAATCAACTCAATGATAAGACTGTGTTTGACCTCCAATCCTTTACTATCCGCGACATCACACACCGATTCACGAGTGTAGTCGATACTCGCTTCAAACTGCAACCTAATCTCATCACTCCCTAAATCTAACTTGTACCTCGATCCGTTACTCTCCTTATTGCGTCCAATAACTCGTGTGTTTTTGTGAATAACACCCTCCGCTTGAGACTTCGACGCATGCTTAGAGCAGGGATGAGATACTATTTTCACATGCTCTTTGATGTGCCATTTGACATTTTGTATGTATAAATGGTTTCGGTTAGGCTTCTTGTTATCCACGACCCCGATCAGCGCCACTCGGACAGGAAAACTACCCATAGGGTGCACTACTGACGGCACAATAACATGACTGGTCAGATTCGTCCGCGGAAACGTGTAGAGTAAAGATGTCTCATTTCCCGGGGGAAGGGTGCGTTTGATGTGCAAAGGCATATTGGATGAATAGCTTCTACCAACGATGTCTTCCGCCTGGGCCGAAAGTACATACGCAATGCCACCTAAGGGAGTGTTGCAGAAAGCGGGCAGCTGACCAGGGAACAGATAGCTAAAAGGAAATTCATGATGACCTAATGTGAGGTGCATTGGTCTCGTTATGAAGTTCCAATTTGACAGCTCTTCAATTCGAGTCGCACAGCGAGGACATCCCTTTACGACCGGTTTCACAGTTGTCAAATGAATTGCCAACGTCAGCTTGAGTTTGATAATCTTAATTGGTATCGTGTGTTCCCCAATGGTAAATCGTAACCTGCCCGAGAAAAGAGCGCCCATTGAGTTTGTCGGGTCCCCATGGTATATAAGTGGTGGTGATTCAATGATGATACTTAATTTGGCCGTTTCACTCGGTCTAGCGTTCCTGAGATGCCCTTTCGAACAGGTATGTATTCCCTCACTCTGACGGAACTCTTCCTGATAGGCTGTGCGAAGCTGAACGACGTGACGGAGGGCGAGGTGTATGTAGTATTTCCCGAGCCACACTTTTTTCGTGTCTAAGCCTGCAGATGGCTTTCCCGACATCATAGTATCAACTGTGTTGATGTTCATTGAGACTATTGACGAAATGTTGATTAAAGAGCAGAATAGCACAAGGTATAAGATAGTGTTATTGAAATAATAACAGGATAGAATTTTGTTATTTAGTAATCCAGAGTGAGGTGCAAATCGAAGTCTTAGTAAGTTGTAGAAGAGATCCGTCTCCTTATATATTAACGCAGATTTAACGAACCACTGAAAGTAAATAAAGCTAATTTGTAGAGCATGACTAAGCTTAGTCTTTAATAGAGTTATCTTTATTGTCTATGGAATAGTCTGCTGAGTGGTCCCACTAGCAGAGCAATATTTACATAAAATATTAGATTACTTTTATAGTATCTTAAATTTTAACAAGGGCTGAGGACATACACTCACTGGTGAAGCATAATTCACAGATCTACTTTGGTTAATAACTATATATACATCTCCTCTCAAGGCCAGACGAGTTTGGAGTAAATTATAAGGTAGTTAGTTATAAGTAAGTTTCTAACAATAGCTTCTAGAGCTACTGATTGTTTAATTAGCGATAGTGGTAAAAATTATAATATGACTCCTAGCCAAACAAAATAAGGGAATTTGAAGTACGGTATAGGTTATAAGATGTGCGCAGTAGCTTAAAACTATAGAGCGCACTCAGAGTATTAAGATACCCCTAAGTACAAGGCTACCTTCTAGTAGAGTAACGTATATAGACCAGAGTGTATCCAGCTTACTATACGGTGAGCTGTGAAAGAGCTTCTTTCAGTTTTAAATATAGAAAGTATGGATAAACTTCGCAGTTTACTGTACAAAGCGATGACAAAGGAACGAGATAAGCACGTCAGTCTAAGCAGACCAAACCAGTGTCACGAGAAAGGCGAGCAGAACAAGATACATGAAGCTTGAGCTTTCCGCTGCCTGTCATAACTCTGACATACTCTGCCCAGGTGCAACATATTTTCCATTCCTGGTTTTTCCATACCTCTAGGGTCTCTGCAGTCGTTTGGCAGGCTAACAGGAGGATTCGACTTAGCTGTAGCTCCTGAGAAAGCCCGTGATGGCAGTATTTGCATAATGTATATATCGCAACCCGACGTTTCGCGGCGGTGATGTAAGAGAAGGTTCCCTCCACAGCTGCACCTGGGCCATGAAGAACAAAAATAAGCTCCTGAGTACTTTCCTCGCTTGCTTTGCAGGATACACAGCTCCAGGAAACAGTTCCTATCATACTAGGAGCGAGTAAGTAGTTGTACGTATCTCAGCTTTATTGTCAAGAATCAACCAGTTACCTGCTACCAGAAATCAGGCTCAGATCAGGAACACCGGGACTATACCGTAACTCAATGTGTGAAAAAGAACTAGTACAGGCATGGGTTGTAGCCATAAACTGTTATCACGGGGGATAGCATTAAATAATTGACAAGCGACAGACCAGACTGCAAATAAGCCTGCGCGCCTACGTCATACCCGAAAGTTAATCCACGCTGAGGTGTTACATAAACATGGACCTAAGTACACACGTATGGATAAATACCTTCAATTGTTAAGGAGTTGTTCTATGTGAGGCAAATTTATATAATATGTTAATTACATTCAACGAAACAACTATATGGGGGTCAAGGTCCTGCCTTGAGCACCTCATCCCCAATAAATATACTTTGTGTATAACGCGTAGTACGCTATTCCCTATTTGGGGTAGCGTCCAACACGAAGCAAGTAAGTGCCGCACTCCGTACGGCAGCAAAACAATAATTGCTAATAGAGGGTATTCGCTAATCCAGGCCTGAAGCTGAAGTGACATATTTGACAGAGAATAAGGTGTGATTCTTTTTATATACATATCCCCGTGGCCTAAATACCGGCTGCAGGTCAGTCTATTAGCTGCAGTAGACTAGCATTATTCTATGGTTGACAAAAGGCTCCTTAGTAGAAAAGTTCTAGGACCGACGAGAATTATCTCACGGGTAATGTTAGTCTTTTAATAAAAGACCTTATGTCATATAACCGTAGACTAAGTACATTATATAGAGGTGGAAAATGTAGATTTGTATAGAATTCCTGTGGTCTGGACCTAATTTCCTTTATATTAAACGCTACTTTATCGGCAATTAGCTATTACCAAATCGAGCCGGGCCTAAAACAGAAAGCGGGGTTTATCAATAACGAGTATGAATTTCTATACTGTATAAATAGTAGATTGTTATTATATTATAGATTATCATTCAAAGCAAGATCATCTCTTAAGCTAAGGCACTATTCCATATCTCCACCATCAGGAAGAGCGCAATAAAAAGAAGCAGTGAATTGTTGGTTTGTCCACTGCACAACTGCTGGGAGGTTCGATATTCTATCCCAACATTAAAAATCCCATCATTCCACTGGTGTAAGCTTATCTCTGTCCCTACATATTTCTCGTAAGCTCTTACTTGCGCCGTTAGGTGAGCAATGAGAAGGAGGCGTTGAATACCAGAGGAGCTTTCCCTATGTGTGGCCCACCATAGTGCACTGTGTCCTGAGTTATCGGTCAGATGAACATTGACTGCAGGATTCCGGAGGATGTGCTCTACAACTTCTGTATGGCCCCCACGCGCAGCAAGGAGAAGTGCAGTTTCACCTCGCCAATTCTGGAAGTTGATTCGGGATCCCGTTCTCTGAAGTAAGAGTATTGCAATTTCACAATAACCCTCCTTAATAGCAATCATCAGTGGTGTTTGTATTAGCTTCCACCTTTTCCATCGCCCACTTCCATAGCTTGGCGGCCGCTGAGCTGGTGAGTCATTATTTAGCAGGAGGTCTTTCCTGGTAAGAAGTAGTTTTACCATTGAGATATCTCCATTATAGACAGCTATCCTGAGTGGTGAATATCCGAACCTATCCAGCGAATTTGGATCTAGGTCCTCTCGCCGTAAAAGCGCACGGGTAATAGCTATATTTCCGGCCTGCACGGCATGATGAAGAGATGTTGTCTGATCGAGGCCGATTGCGTTGACATTGATATTATCTTTATGTAATAAGCACTGAGCCACGCATGGGTGCATTCGGAATGTTGCCCACCAAAGCGGTGTCTGGCCATGTTCATCTTTAGCGTTGATATCAACTCTAGGATTGTTAAGAAGGAGTTGAACCACAGATAGTCGGCCTTGTATAGCAGCCTCATGCAGCGCCGTCCATCCGTCATAATCAGTTATACACGGATTGGTATTCTGATGGTGAAGCAACTGTTTGACATCCTCATAGCGTCCTATACTTGCAGCCAGGGCCAAGGGTGTTCTTCCCCCCTCATCCTGTACATTGGTATCCAACCCACTGGATAGAAGAAGCTCGAGTATGTCACTCCGACCGACAAGCACCGCTGTGAATAGCGGGTTAGGCCCAAGCCTTGAGCCAACATCAGATGTCCCGGGCGACGGACGAACGCCTGGATGTTCCAAAAGCAACCTGATCATGGCCATATGCTCCAGCGAAATTGCCCTCTGGAGCGGTGAGCTATGACTCCCATTCATCATATGCGCTGTAGCTCCTCTGTCCAGTAGTTGTTGCGCTGTATCTACACTGCGGAATCCAACGGCGTACCAGAGTGGTGATAAGGAAAAGCTATCGTAGACATTCACCTCAATATCTGGATGCCTGAGAAGAATGTTCACGGAAGAATAAAAACCTCTCTGTGCAGCGTCAAGGAGTGGAGTACAGCCCTTGGAGTCCCTGTGAGTGACATCAGTCCTGGTATCGGTAAGAAGAATCTCCACTATACGACTCCTGTCGTGCTGCACGGCATGGAATAATGGTGTTCGAGTATGTTTGTCTACCGTATTGATATCGGCGCGACCATCGGAGAGAAAGCATTGAATGACATCACTGTGCCCATGCAAGACAGCTACTGCAAGGGGTGTCCACCCACTCATGATATCGGGGCAATTAACCAGCAGTCCATTTTCTCGAAGAAGTCGCGAGACAGTGATAGAATGGCTGTTAGCTGCCGCACAATAGAGGGCTGTCTGGCCTAAAGGGTTGGTCGCGTTGAGCTGGGTATTTGGGTTCTGGAGAAGTAGCTCCATCACGAGTTGGGACCCGAACCTGGCTGCGATTATTAACGGAGTATCTCCTTCAGACACAACATCTGCCGTGGCCCCAGGCGTCTGAAGGAGGATCTGTGCCGTCCGGAGTTTGTCATATTGTGCTGCCCAGAACAGAGCTGAGCTGCCTTGCTCTTTAATATTGAACGAATAGAGAGCACCCATAACAATCGAGGACATGTTTTTGTTAATCAAGGAAAACGATAAAAGATCTTTGGCGGTGCAAAGTTTGTTGGTAATACATAAAATCATCTCTGGAGGTAGCTCTGCGAGATTCATCTGCACACCAAAATTTCTTGAACCCATTTCCTGTGCCGGATTGAGTGATTATATAGTGAAACAGTATACAAGAGAAGGTTTGAAATAGCAAGAGGGCAGGATAATAGCATGCTGTTATAAAGTAAAGATCTATAACAAGGGAATACTTTAGGAAATCTGGAAAAGAGTATCCATTCCTGCGTATAATGCTTAACTTTGTAGGCTCTCAGTGTAATATGATAAGCGTTTTATGTACTGCATGCAGTTTGATATACTTTTAACTTACAGTGATTTTCTTATGACAAGTTGTATTTATCAAGAGAATGTGAATTATTATGCCATAGAGACATGTAAAATGGTGTAAGATTCAAATTATATTAACATCAGTGTATAGGTTCACATATCATGCTACTTTCGTACCTGGCAATACTCATCAATCGAGCAGCTAGCAAGACAACGCTACGGATATAGATAATATAGATACCATTTAATCTTTCTAGCACCAAAGCATCTATCACGAGATGCCTTAAATATAATAGTCCCGTATATTTTAGTATTCTGGTGTTTGTGATATCTATGACCGGTTCTACAAAAGGTAATTCTCTGTTTGATACGCAGAGTTTGTATATTGTATCAAGGAAGCTATATTGCTTACACTGTTTTAGATTCTTCTTATCGAGTATAATATAATAAGAAGAAGTATACTGAAATGAATTGAGTGGTCACTTTTCAAGCTAGACATACTGTCGCATATCCGTATGATGTAATTCAAGTTCTTGCTTCAGTAGCCCCATCGTGAACATCCTGCGACAAACATGGCCCAGTAGTGTTGGAACAAAATTGGATGTCGACTGGCAGAGTTGGTATCTCTTCAAGTTGGCTAGGAATTCCTAAAGGATCATTGGTCTGATCAAATGGGAAAGGTCCGGTGGGAAAATTAAGAAGCCCATACGACATAGTTTGGCTGTCTGTAGCCGATGATACCTCAACACCAGGCTGTGATGCACCAAAGCTCTGTGGAGTCAACAGCTTGGCAGACGGGAACAGGCGCCTCTATATCATGGTCAAACACTGCAGTAATATTTGTTGAGGTTTGAACGTACAATCTGAGTAAACGACGGCGGAAACCGCTTATCCAGGGTATTCCTGTACTCAGTGACCCTTCCATCACGGTCTTGAATAAACATATACACCTTGGCGCCGGAGAGAAGACCGTAGTCATGTAGGCCTTGAACGGTACGTTCTTTCCGTCGTTTCAAACGTTCTCGGGAGTTCTTGGTCCTCCGGCGTTCCTGATCCTTTTCTCGCTTAGTAGCCATGATAGTAGGCTGTTTTCCTCAGCAACAGCTTTAAGGGGTGAGTACCCTTTTGTATGATCTCTACACCGCACTTTTCTAGGTTTACCTTCCTCGGGAGTAGAATCAAAACTAAAGCGCTGCTAAAAGTGCGGCCTAATCAATACTTCTATCCAATAACCTTGGAGCAGTAAAGAAGGATCAACACGCCGCCCTGGATCTTTAGTTATATTGTATATATAATACCGGTAGTACATTGGAAATTGATATACAGTATACTATTGAATGGCCCTCTTACTCAAGAACAAGGGCGGGTGTCCAATATTCTCAGGAAGCTGTATTTATTTTTAAAAGATATAACTGGGCATTAGTATGAGACCTAAAGTGACGCGGACTGATGACTGGCTAAGGTAGAGATATAACCGTATACGTAAGTTGGACGTTAGACCTTCTATGTCTGTGAGGGCCCTGCTGAGTCTCTATATCTATTGATAACTCTGTTTCTACTTTAGCAACCTGGATTATATACTGAAGTAGCTATTAGTCTTACTGATCCCCCAATAGAGTAAATACTCAACCGAGCTGCATTATTTCTATATCTGTAAAAAGGTCTCTGTAGAAGCGCAAGTCCTATATCGGCACCTTCATAACATCTTGGCTGGAGATTTTGACTGGGAAGTAGTTTCACTGTACGTTCACTGTTTAGACCAGGATAGTATTCAAGAAAGTATTAAGATCAGCCCCGCATAGTATCTCCAAGATAAGAAAAAAACGTCACATCCATTTGCTAAGTAAGAATAGTACATGGGGGTAATTCATTGACACCTTTGTCAACAGAGCTTAAACCTTGTAGAAATAAGCACGGCCCGTTGAGTAGCTACCGTCGCACACCCATGCAGCCTGGCTAATTGGGTGGGTCTGTTCCCTATAGAAGGCATAGTACTAGCGTATCACCCGTGATAGATATTCTCATATTATACTGAATTATGATTGCAGTCGCATATACCAAGGCAATGGGCCTCAGGCTGATGCTACATCCAACGCACCAGGGGCCAGAGTATGAACATACATACTAAAGAACAAAGCCTGTCTAGTTATATATAGACTTGATGTATATGTAGTGACGGCTTCTTTGTATCGAAAATATATTGTTGCTTAACTGCGAGTCTGGGCATTGAGGACTAAGCGCAAAACTTTGACAAGGTCAAGGGTCCCATCACACTTGATATAACTACAGGATATTGTTGCCTTTGGAATGAAATAGTGAATCTCAATAATTAAATAAGCCTTCTAGATGTCTTGCCTGATTTTGGATTGAACAGCATAATACATGATGCGCCGAGGTACATTCAACCCTAACTTAGCAGTAGGGACCCATCATCCAATTCTGCATCATCCCTTCACCATAACCCAAGATTGTAGACTGATCTGTAGATACTGGAGTATTTGCGCTCGCTGTATTCCTTCCATTGCTCCCCGCCAATGAGATGACTGGCCACCCACCACTATCCATCCCATCGAAACCTGTACTGTTCGGATAGTATGGCTCGATCATAGAAGGTGCTAAGGCAAGTTCCTCGCCTGGTGTTTGATCTCCCTGGGATGGCCGATTTCCCTCAGCCATGATCGTGTGGCCGAACCCAGTATCTACGCCAAAGGCAGCGGAAGTATCCAAGGCTAATGAGATGGGAAAGTGTGGAGATAGCTCCTCTCCGTACTCGTTGGCAGCTGATATCGACGGAGGGCAGCAATAGGATTGACTCGGCATATGTCCCTCCGAAATGCTGGGAGGCTGGCCACACCATTCACAGCCTTTGATGCTTAATAGGTCGTGAGAAAAGGGACACTGGATGTACGTCCGAGGGTCTTGTTCTTCCGAATCTCTCCACTGTGGGGTGTAGGCGGCAAGTCCTACTGTTTCTTTCATCGAACTGTATAGAGACGTCGAAACATTCCCGGTAGTCATTTCGGGGGCTGTTAAATAAATCAACTGATGGTCGCTTTGCATAGTGGATAGAACGCTTGACGAATTCGAGGTTAAATCATTGATAGTATGATTCTCAGGGGGGTGCCAGTCGTTGGTATAAGTGCTTAGGCCGTCGGTGTAGATACCCATACCAATAGTTGATGATTCAACATAGCGCATCTCCGTATTGCGCATATTATCAAAACTTGTGGTAGTGGAAGTTGGAAATTTCATGCCTGTAGTACTTTCAACATTGGGTTGACTAGCACAAATATAATCGTGGTAGCGGTCGCCAAAGGCTACACTCGGCGTATCTTGGCATGCACCTGCTTTCCTCCAGGCCAAGCCATTACCATCCCAGGGGGAAGTTCCACATTCAGAATCCATCAACGACTGACAACACTGTTAGAACAAATCACAAAGTGTGTGCGCGCTTTCCGTCGTGAGATTCAAAGTAAATATAATAAAGTTCCACTTACAGTGTTCCTTTGGGAAGACATAACCCACGGGGTTCCATACTCTGGCGATGGACTGGGTTTGAACTATTCCAGAGCGGTTAGGATTTTGAATCCAACTCTCTGGAGCGGGGATGGGGATTCTCACTTCAGGTAGGACATAATCCAACGCCTGCCTGGTACTTGGGTCGAGAGACTTCTCTATTAATTCAGTGGCGGGTTCGTTCGAATCCACTGATCCATTCTGTCCTAACTCAACAAGGTTGTTGGCCATCTGATGATGGCGCTTTCGGAGTTCTCTGCTAGCTGGGTTCTGGGCTTTCTGCTTTCTGCGGGTCACCATGGCGGGGTCACGGTCTTTATTGATAGGTATCCAATGTTCTACCGTACTTAAAAGACTTTCGAGATAGCCTTTAGGAAACGTATGTTCTGGGCTGGGAGATATTTGGTCTATCCAGTTCGCTATCTTTTATTGACTATGTTCCACTAGCCCTATTTATATATACAGCACATGGTGGCCAAGACAAAATCTTGGGATACTATTCAGACAGGGGAACGAAAAAAAGAAGAAAATTGGAATGCTATCTATTCTATGTTTGGGCTCTGACTGGAATCCAATAACGGAATGGAATGCGGATATTATTTCTACTGGCGCTAGAGAGCAGCTAGATCGGGCTTAAATAATGATACTTAAGTGCTTAATGAAGCCCTCATTCTATCAAACAAGAAATACTTTTCCCTGTCAGACCTATATATGTGGTTTCAGCGTTGTTCCTCGTTATCCTTATACACCTTCAATTTTCAGAAACTCGTGCAAGATGTCGCTTCTGGTCCTTCCCATAGAACTCTTACTGTCTATTCTGGACAGCCTGGATAAAGCAAGTGATATTCTTTCTTTGTGCCGCACACATCCCAGTCTATACACACGACTTCTGCGCGCTCTCTATATATTTAATGTCAAATGGCAAGACAGCTCCGCACTACACTGGGCAGCATCTCACGGAAATATAAGACTCGCCTGCATACTGGGCTCCTATGGTGCCAATATCAATTCCCTCATCAAGGGAGTTCCACCGCTCCATCATGCTGTGAGCCGCCAGCAGACTGACCTAATCAAATGGTTCCTTTCCTGGGATCATCTTGATATCAATGTGCAAGACCCCTTTTACAAGACTGCTCTGCATCACGCCGTCCTCAAAAATAACGAAGAGGCAGTAGCTTTGTTACTTCAGAAAGAAAATGTCAACGTGAATAAGCAGGATATAGACGGAATGACCCCACTACATCGAGCTATTCTTCGCGGCAATCTATCGATTATTCAGCAACTTCTAAATTATAGCTCAATTGACCTAGAGCTTCGTGGTATGGATGGTCATTGGGGGATCTGGAATGAATCACCACCGCTGTGTGTTGCCGTCATGCGCGGTAGACTTGACATTGTCCGTCTTCTACTTTCGTTTCCGATCAACGTTAACAACTGCAACAAAGATGGCAAGTCTGCATTACACCTAGCAGTGGATAATGACGACCACAATCTCGTTAAGCTGCTCCTCGACCAGCCGGGTATCGATGTGAACATCCAAGATAATGTTGAAAATAGTGCTCCTCTACATAAAGCTGTCGAACTTGCACATGAGTCCATCGTTAAGCTGTTGCTTGGCCAGCCGGGTATTAACCCGAATATCGGAGATAGCTATGGAGATACTGCTCTACATATAGCTGCCAAATTTGGAGATCCGTCGATCGCTAAGCTTCTTCTCAACAAGCCCGGTTTGGAGATAAATATGAGGGACCATCACGGACAGACTCCCTTGTGGTGGGCCACGAAGAACAATCACTTCTCCCTTGTTAAGCAGCTATTGGCCGAGAGCCATGTGGATGTTAATACTGTGGGTCAGGACGCCTCAACTTCTCTCCACCATGCAGTTAAGAACCGAAGCTCGCATCTAGTAATGCTATTGCTCTGCACGAACGGGATTGATGTGAATATTTCCGACGAGAGTGGGAAGACGCCACTAGAGTGGGCGGTCTATCAAGGTGATATTCAGATGGTCGAAATTCTTCTCTTATCCCCCACCATCAAGATTGAATCGGCACTAGGTACGGCGGCTAAACTTGGCCACATCCGGATCGTTAAACTACTCCTTCGGCGCCAACCCAACGCAGACTTAAACTTCCGTGATGGATCAGGGATGACCGCACTAGCCCAAGCCGCCTTTGCCGGGCATGATAATATTGTCAACTACCTACTCCAGAGACGTCATATCGATGTGAATCTCCACGACTTTGACAGATGCACGCCTCTGTGGTGGGCGGCTAAAAGAGGACACTTGGATATTGTGGTACAATTGGTCAGCGACAGTCGGACAGTGTTTAATAGTAGAATACATCGATGTCCACGAGACGAAGCAAAGTATTGGGGACATTCAGATATTGCTAATCTTTTAACTTATGTTATAGATAAGAAGAATCCATTCGCTCTCTTGAACTAGAGTAAGCCTCTTATCTAGCATAGTTCTCCTCTCCAGTTATAATACAATATAGTGCAAATATTCCTCACCGTAACCGGCCGTCTTCGCCAGATTCCTAATAAAGACTCTGTAGAGGGAGAAGTTATATTCCTGTGGAGAGTTTTTTCCACCGTCTCGTAGGTCAAAAGTGTCTTACTAGACAGACCTTAAAAATCATGGGACTCTGGTTAATGATCTTCTGTTGTTGCTCATATAGAATTTAGCTTATCTTGAAAAACTGGAAACTCATACACGAGCGCAGCTTCAGAATCCTACTGATTTTCAACGGTACGATATGTCCTATTGTATTAATCCTTATAAAGGCCGCTAGAGGAAGGAGTAAACTAATAGCCACCTTTGAAAATTCTCTTACAACTATATTTGGAAGCGCGACTGATAAAAGATAGTCTGGGTTGTGATAAAGGTGATCTCAGCTAGAATTAAAGGCGACCTAAAATCGTAAACTTTTAACAGATGAAATACATCGACAAAGGGACTGCCAAGAGGTGTACTCAATATACCGTATAATGACTATGATAGTAAAAAGGTAGTGCTACAAGTATTTTAAATATACCTTACTATCACTTCATGGGTCTGAGTATCTCTGTATATCTTACCCATCAAGTTGAAGCTTAGCTGCTCATATTAAAAACTATTCCTTTGGAGGTTGATTTTACCATACAGCAATTATGTATTTCCCTACTATTCTAATGGTTATTGCACAATTCAGCATTCTAGCTGTGGTGTCCAGTGCCTTTCCGCTTGAGGATTTAGGCGTTAGTCGTTTAAAATATCTTTTTGAGCGTGGACAACAAGACCGCTTTTGCGCAAGTTAGTATTTCCAATAGAAAGTCCCTTGTTAAAGTATACCAGCTAACTATTAATAGACAAGACCCTCTATAGTGCTATAGCTCAAGTTAAGGCATTTCAACTTGCTCAAAGCTGTGATCTAACGGGGACAACAATGAGCGGGAACAACGGTAAGCCTACTCCCTCCAAGACAAGCCGAAAAACTGATTCTTATGCCGTTATGCAGGAAAGGTATATCCGACAGAATTTAAAAATAGTGAAGGCCTCCATATCCCTCACTGTGCTTGTATCAATGAACCATGCCAGGAGTTTCCAATTCTCCCAGATGGTCGTATGTTTGGAGGTGATGGGAGTAATGACCCAGGCTCTGATCGTATTATCTACAAGATAACGAATAGGGATTCAGCGAGTAAGCTGCCTAGTGATTTTATACTCTGTGGAGTAATAACACAGATTGAAGGCCCCAAAGGTGGCTTTGTTATGTGTCCTAACTCCTTTGAGCACGCTCAAAATTGCGTACACTGATACTTCTTTTGGGGCACCAATACTCAAGCGTATGTTGCTACTACTCTATGTTTTAAATAGTTATAACAAAATTCGCTTATAGATAGGGGTGGTCTTAAATAGTTTAAAAATATACTAGTCTTGCCAGAGCTGTTAGTTGCGGTCTAGTGATAATTAATACACTCTAATATATTTTTAGTGGCTTACTATCACTGGGCCATTGTGTACTACTATTATTATACAGTACTTTATATCTTTTATGGTAGCCTACAAGTAAACTCCGTCCTTTGTTCATCTTTTAGAAAGATATTGTAAGCGTTCTTTCGGTGTACTACTAATCGGTGGTATTCCTGGGGAGAATGGTCAACGGGCTCCAGAATTTGCTTAAGGCAACCGCCGTCTTTATTTACGTCTTAATACTCTGTACTAAGCCATACAAGGTATATATTGGCATAATTATGCCGTTCGACTACCTGAAAATGTCTGGACACTAAGGGGTGTCTTATAGTGTAATTTATAGGTGTAATTTTGGCTGACAGTATATTTATATTTGACGCTATAATCCTCGATATCACGTGGTCTATTAAACCATTCAGAGTCTAGCGTATCACGCGTTATACAGTATATCGCCCTGCCACTAAGAACTTTAGCAGGGCTCGACTTGACGCAGCGTTACTGAGTAAAGCTGCGTGTCTGCACAGTTCTATTCTCACAAAGCGTTGGATGGTGGTCCTCCCTAGGCAACGCGCTGCTATCAACAAAGTGTTGATTCCGGCCTCGAGCGATGCTATTACTACCTGTTATTCATAGCTCTCTAAAAACTTAAAAACGTAAAGAACAAACTATAAATCCCAGTTATCCAATACACCGCCCTGTTGTGCGGTTATCCACGACCGTAAATCAGTTATAAGTCAAACTACAGATTTTCTGGTAGTAGAATTATTATTTTAGAATTTTAGACCTACATTATTATTGTAATAGACTTACAAGGTAATTGTATAATGGGAAAAGCAGACAGATCTGAATAAATTATATAAATCCCGTCATATATACATCGTATCTAAGCGTTGTACCCAGAGAGCACATTTAGGTATGGTATCTAATTACTATATGCAAGCAACTAGCTTAAATAGTAAATATAAATTTTTTACTAGGCATTGCGCATAGATGCGATATCCAGGTATGGTATCAGGTTATAAAGCTCTATAAATAGAGAGACACGGCAGGAGAGACAAGACAGCAGATACAAGACAACAGGTACAAGACAGCATATACAAGACAACAGGTACAAGACAGCAGATACAAGACAGAAGATACAAGATCTTTCTGGACATGTAATAGTCTAGATACCGGAGGCTCCCCCCTAGTTAATACCGGGCATCGGCAGGCCCCTAGGGATAGCTGGGGATTGACACAGTCGTCGTGTCCCAGGCGGAAACAAGAGTAGCACATTCTGCCTGTCCGCCATTGCTGCCGACAAGCTGGATGATATACTCACTGATCTCATCTTTATATCACATAGTGTCATACCCCGCTGTTTGTACCTCTGCACGGTCTGCCTAAATTCCGAGGTACTGCTGGGCTCCGCCGGGTTAACCCGGACGATCGTAGCGACGTTCCAGTGAGAGTGCTCATCGTATACATAGAACACGATGTTGATCTTACCTGTATATGAGTTTCTCAATATATTTTTTCTATGAGTCTGGGCTCTTTGCTCGTTGTCTAGTTGATGTGTATTATTGATAGCCCCTGCTGCTATATTATCATTCGAGACCTCCTCCATGGGCTCACAGTGTAAGTCTCCGCCCTTTTGTGTACATGGCTCTCTAATGGTATTGATTGCCCCTTCGGTATACCCGTTTGGTAACTTTCTCAATTCGGTAGCATACATTGCCATCGTACTGCTCGCCTGTTGATGAGTCGTATTATCAGTTGTCATTTGGTGATGAAAACCCTGTACGGCATGTGATGTGCTCTCTTGGAATTCGGCTTCTTCCCGAGTACATTCTGTATCTGCTCGTGATGGTCTTCGTTCAGCTACCGGCCCTGCAGTAGTATGGTTTTGCGATCTGTTGTGATCGACATCCATTGAAGGTGAGGTATGATTCCAGGTCTCTATGGGTTGCCCAAAGCCAGGGCTATTATTGGACATGTACTGCAAAGGATCCTGGTCAGGGTGGATCTGACTAGGCCGGTTCTCTGGCACAAACAAAGGTGGCGTAGGACAATAAACGGAATTAGCAGCTTGACCAACCGCAGGGTGGGGACCGAAGAACGCGAAATAGACACAATGCCGAACGAAGGCTGTTGTAACTAGGTCTGGAACCGCGGCAGTATGTATATGGTCCAGGAAGAGAAGTGCACGATCTTGTACGAGGGCCTTCAGCGTAGGGTGTCCACTACGACATTTGCGCGGCACCGAGCGGCTGACCCGAGTTGGGGGTACAGTAACAACGCCTTTCGGGCGGACCATGTCGAAACAGTTGATAATATGACCGATGATCGAATCGGCAGTCGCGTCGTCAACGTCAAAGCTTTCCGGATCACGGGCCTGAAGCAGAGCATTTCTCGCGATCAGCCGGTCAGGCGCCTGTCCTATTAGCTCCTGGATCTCGCTTGAATCGAAACCCAACCGATGGGCTAGGTGACCCATGCCAGAAACAACACGCTCGTTCGCGGTGGCACTCCCTGGTCGGGCTAGCCGCTCTTTGCGTTTCGGATCACGGGGCATCTGCGGATAATGGCGCATAGCGTACAGCCACAGCTGCCGGTAAGCAACCTCGAACTGCTCATCGGCGGATATAGCGCGCTCGGAGAAGGTGTATTCCGATGTTTGGATCATGCATATGTTGTTGCTAGATGATGCGTGTAGACCTTTCATCGTGAGCCGCACGGTGGATCGGGTGCGGGTGGAGAGCCGTGTCAAACAGTGGGCCCAGCTTTCAAAGCACTTGAAGTCATCAAAGAAGGTGTGCAGAGATGGAACAATGCCGGTGAATAATTGCAGCCTCGTTAAGATCGCTTCCCGCTCATGCGCGCCCAAATCTGAGAAGATCTGGCCGCTCAGGACCAGCCCTTGCACGGATTCCGCTTCCGCACACGGGGCCATCAGCTGGAGCGTTTCGACTGTCCGCTGGTCGATCTTCGCAATTGAGAGGGGATCGTTGTCGACAAGAGAAAACCAGAAATCCTTCACGTAGTTCAAATAGTGGGCGATTTCCTAGCTCAGGCTGTGTCAGACGGGGGACTTGCGAGGAATTTGCGTAAACCACACCTCATCACATTTAACCGCTAGCACCCGGTGCAGCATACTGATACTCATAGCGGTCCTATTTCCTGGGATTTGAAGAACAGAGTCAAAAGCCTGTTGGAGGCGAGCATTCTTAGCGAGCGCATCTAAACGGCTTTGACAGTTTGGACTCAGCCGTGCCCTCCACCGTAGCTCCCCAATTCGGTTTCCGTCTGCCACATACTGACGGATCTTATGGTAAATCTCCCCATCATTCGGGCGCTGCTCGTTGGAGTGTTCCTCAATTAGAGTAGTCCTCAGATCATCTCCAATATCTATGCATCATGTCGCTGTCAGTTTGTTTCTCACGTACTAGAGTGTGACTGATACCATCCAGGTACAAATCAACTGCCCACCAACGATGGCCCCGCGATAGAACCTTCGAGCCAGCTACAACCCGGTGCCGTCCATGCAGCCCTTGTAGCTGCCCGGGGAGGAATTTTAGGTGGGGCAATTCGGATTCTGCGCTCGTACGCAGCGACTGTGCGGTGACACCTGGCAGTGCGTTCTCAAGAGCCGCGGTGAGATGATCTCGTGAGACGATTGCCGGTATGCGATGGGATATTGTCAAGTTCTGGCATTGCTCCCTATAAAAGATGTCACACAGGCGATCGATATTCCTTTGGTCGAGCTGTCGATGTGGATGTAGATCAAAACTAATCTCATCTAGGTTTACTTTGGCGGTGCCTAGGAATTTAAGATGTCTTTCGGCCGTTATCTGAATTTCTCTCTGTTCAGCCGGGAGAGACTCCATGTCGCCTATGCTGGCTACAGGAAGGGTCACAAGGGAAATAGGAAATAGGAAAAGAAGAGCGCCGACGAGAGAGGGAGGATAGGGCTTCATTACGGCGTAGGGATTGGAGAGTTACTCATACATATATGGTCATAGTTATTGTGCGTTCACCTAAAAGTGGTGTGCTGGTCCCATTCACACATGCGCCGATTTTATTGCGAGGTCCCGTAAGGTCACATAACTTGACTTGACTTCCGAGGGGAGAGATCCTCCTTTCTTATTCCAATAGACAGCCGGGTCGTATTAGCTCCCATTGCCTATTGACCTCAACGATAAGATCTGTTCAATGCAAAGGTTACACTATGTCGGGCCCAATGGGGCACCAATCGTACAAGCAGAGGATGTGCTCTATCTCGCCCAACCTCACCCACCACAGAAGAAACCAGTTCTCGCAGGGCCAGATATTTACAAAAAGCGAATATGCGGCCAGAAGCGGGATCTGGTTCTCCCTGAGACAGTTAAGCTGGGGAAAGCAACCCACCTAGCTTTCATTGTGCGGAAGGAGTCACCGTGGGAGACCTACAGGAAGGTCTATGACTGCAACCTAGATGGCCCTCTTGTAGTAGCGATACCGCGGGTTCACCCCAGTCGGCTTGTGGCAATTAGGTCGATCAGGAGGAAAGACATCAACGAGATACCCCGCTTCTTTGAACGCCTGCAACATCCCTGTATCCACAGTTGTCAACAATGCTTTTTACACCAGGACCTAGCCTTCCTCCTCTACGAGTATATCCCCATCTCGTTGGACCATATCGTTGCTTGCGAGGCCTACCTAAATGAAACGGAGCTTGCTGCGGTTTTAGCACAGGTAAGTCAATACCAATCCCCATTTCACGTCTAGATTCGACAGGAACCTAAATAACAAGTGGAAGGTCCTCGAAGGCCTGCTATATATCTCAAGCCAGCGACTTGAGCATCCAAAACTAGCAACTATTAATATTTTGGCAACGGAGAGGGGAGAGGTCAAAATCGGTCAGCCCAGTCAAGTTCATTCCGGAGGTCAAACCTAAGACTGTTTCACAGGCGCCCTCGACGTATGTGTACCGTTGACCGCACATCAAGCCCCGCATTATTCTCATGCCTTGAAGGCAATCACAGTGGAATTGATGCAGAAATACAACGACAGACATACCGAGATCAAGATAGATAGTACGCAACGGTGGTCCGACAACTCGTTTACAACCAGCTTCCTCTCCTCAATTGCATCAAATGCGTCGATAGAGAGACTGCGAGAGGTGCGTACTTTATACCATGTAATTGTGAAAGGTTTATATATTGATATAGAGCAGCACCCACTGCTAACAGAAACTCGGTGGTGCAAGGGCCATCTAATGGGTTTGGTATCTTTTGCCTTGCGGTCTTCATTCGTATCTTGTTCTTATTCAACGTAGACTGGAACCTTGTACGGCAGTGGTTCTTCTGGATAGGCACTGCCACCGGGTCCGCCTATCTGATGCAAAATAATAAATTCTGTCTCAGTACGAGCGATTCCATGACCTGCAGATTGAAGGGTCCCTCTTAACCCGTTAACTGAATCTTGAGTTCTGTGTGGTCTGATATTCTGTATTGAATCCTTAAGTTCCTCTTTTTTTTTTCACATTCAAAACTTGACATAAAATCACCAGTAATATCATATTAACCGGCTTTTATGTGACATCATTTATATTGATATTATCAAGTTCCCTGCCTACTGTATAGATGCATTTCCACTAAATGGTATCGTAAAAAGACCGCAACCACTGTAGTCGTAGGCTTTGTCTAAGTAGCGCTATCCAAACAATCGTACCCTGCTAGGGCGAGCTCTGGTATACCATCCGTCTCGGAATGGCATACCGTACCATATACAGTGAGACGGCTGGGAAACCTGCAACGGACAGGCTCGACACAGGACACATCCCTACCATATTCCTCAACCTGCTAACATTTTGCTTCTACTGATTTCTTATTTTTGATGCGACCGAGAGCCACACAAGCCAGGAACTAAGACCCAACTCTTGCATCGCCTCTTCCCGTAGGTACCCGTGACATCTTCGGATAGCTCGATGCGAGAATGTCAACGTTCATTAGGGTACCCAACTGTGAGCGTAAGGTATAAGTAAATCATCCCGTACCTTTTTTTTTTGTTTCCTCCCAGAGCGAAATTTGCCTTTCAAGCCCACTTCAAAATCTAGATCAGGCGAGATAGTAAACCTAGGCAAGGTTTTCTATTGTCCTCCTCAACGCAAATAATGGGTAAAAGCGCTAAAAGGAAACGCGAGCGTGAGAAGGCCCTTCTTGAACAAGGGCGGTTGTCCGAGTTAAATGTTGACAGCGATGGAGACGAATTGATGGATCGAGAGAGTGGTGTACAGCACGGTGATAGCACGGAGTCGGAAAGCAGATTTTACACACTAGAACATCGAGCGGAGGCAACAAGGATCCAGCAGCTCGAAGATAAAGACTATTACGGTATACTGGGACTCGAGAATGATTGTACCGCGAAGGACATTCGTAAAGCCTATTTGAAACTAGGCCGCCTGACACATCCAGACCAAAACAAATACGGCGATGCGCAGGTTGCGTTCAAAAGTAAGGCCACAAGTACACCGGCTATCTCTTCATCTCTTATCTACCAGCGTTGAGCTAACCGTCATCTATCCAGAATTGGCGGAGGCCTATGACGTACTCCACAAACCGAAATCACGAGCTGAATATGATTTAATCGGGCTTCAATATAAAAGAAACCGCGCTCGAAACGCGGAGAAGGTGTTCGGCGAGGCATTCGCGAACAGTGCGGCCGGGGACGAGTCAGAAGACGCGTCTGATGATTCAGGCTTAGAGGACAAACACAAACTGCCCGAACCTGACGAGGAAGTGGTGCGGGTCTATAGTGAAGCCACGGAGTTAGTTAATCAGTATCTAGCGTCGCACGACACCTTGCCGCCTGAGTCGGGGGAGAAAGCAATCCTCGAGCTCAATAAGAAGATTAAGAAAATTAACCAAGAATCAGGCCGTCCCGAAGACGAAGGACTAATTAAAGTCCATCTATTGTTCGGATTCGCTTGTAGTTACCGAGAAGCCGCCAAGAAGGGGGGAAATAATCCCGAGGATTTAATCAGAATCCAAAAGCAGTTCGACCAGGTGAAGAAGATATTTTACTATCCGTCGTCGTGGCAATTACCAAATATTCCAGGCGTCACGGCCAACCCTCCAGAAGCAGGGAAGCGAAACTTGGCGGATCAGGAGGCCGCTAAACGAATCATTGGTTATATACCGAGCAGCGGATTTTGCGGACCCTCGTTTATCGTGGAAAACCCAAGTCTTCCTACCGGTATGCTCATTGAGCAATATGGCGACATCAATGGCGACATGGCTAGAGCATACCTCGCTCTGCCAGAGGCGGAGAAAAAAGATGTGCGTGGTTCACAGGAGCGGTATAGCAAGGCCGATCGCACCAAATATGATCGGATTTTAGGCTGGTGTAATGTATTATCTTCTAAATGGAATCCAGATACTCGCGGGTGCCTTCCGAAGTCCTATGGTCTCATTCGCTTTAAGGACGGCAGAACCGATATTCTTAGCCGGACCGCCCTCAGAAAAGTTCTCGGTGTCAGAATTGCGGATGCCGAGGTCAGTCGATTCTACCGGGAGCTAGGTATAACTCCCCCATGGGCCGCTATGCCAAGATTCCAGGCGCTCCCTGGACCACAGAGGGCCCTCATAGAGGGCGCGTATTCCAATACATTGCGGAGCCAGGGCCCGGATAAGGCAAATCGGAGTGGTATTACACGGCGAGAGTTCTATGGCAAAACATCTGAGGACACGATCAGGACACTGGTCGAACGGAATCAACAGCAACAACAGCAGATAGAGGAACTGACCAAGTCTATCACAGAGATACTGAAACGGATGAAGGTGTGATACAGCTGTGGGTTTGTTGTTCTTGTATTACTCGCTAAGCTAAGGACGATTTTACATACCAATGTGCGCTGGGGGTCATGTGACTATTTAGGCGGTCAATCAGGTGATTCATTTATGGAATCATAAATTCCTTGACGTGGGTGAGAGAAAAGTATTATTTATAATGGGTTAGCTTAGTTATATTCTGTACTGAATTTCTTTCCGTTTTCGGTATTATCTTGGTTTGGCAATTGTTCTAAGCTCGATTCATAGTTCAGCTTCCTCGCTTGTCAGACGCTAGTTTCAGGCAGTGGTGGTCCCATCGAGTTTGGAGACTGTCTTTTAGCCGAACAAAAAGAGCCAAGGTGATTTGCAAATTAAAAGTGGTTGACAGATAGATAGATAAAACAAGGCGAAAGTATATCTAGCAAATGATACAGCACCGGTGTTCCCGAGAGAGCGAATCCATATGAACTATACCAGCTATGGCTACAAGCAGAACACAAAGCCCCGTTATCTGAATAACATGCCCAACCAATAAGGGAAGTGAAGCAGTAAGGAACGGAAACAAAAGTAACAGCATCGTGGCTGACTGACATAGGCACTCCGTCATGGTGAGAATTGCAGGAAAGGCAATGTAAACTATTCAAGAGCTGGGGAGAGGAATAGCTTTGGCTGACTTGTCCACCTACAATGACCGGAGCCCGCACAGACATTCTATGCTGGAAACCAGTTCAAACATCCTGTGAAGCTCCTGAGTCGGAAATTCATAAGGGCCGGACAACATGGCCGGCGCAGCTATCAGCGACACAGGATATGTATTGAAACTTGCCAACGCAGTATCCGCTGCTACACCGAACTCTCGGAGCATAGAGACACATGCCTTCCACGTTGAAGAACTTCCGACTTCCCCTTCCATGCTCAAGATGTGAAACATCATGAGCATGGAGCTGTGAGCGCAGTATAATCTTGGGGTATGGAAATACGCATTCTCTGTTCGCAATGTGTGCCACAGCCAACGGTGAGAGAGGTACAGCCACACCACACATGAATTTGATACCAGTGAAAGAAGCAAAGGGAAGGCAGCTGGATTGCATGGGCTGTGCAGGCATACCCGGTGAACCCTAGCCAGCAATGTAACCACATCACGTAGGTGCAGCACAGTACTTGACCACAAGGAACCCACATATTGAAGCGCCGCTTCATGAGCAATCCCACTGCACCTCAACTCACCATACCGCTGAATAACTGGGGATCCCGAGTGAAAGTATATGTCACTGGCAGTGATACAGATACAGAGGAATCCATATGCCTGGCGGAGAGAGCTGCTGGGCTCGCATGCTAAACCCGTCCAGGTGGAGGACGTCGGTAGAAAGGCCCTAATATGCATAGCAAGTGCCTTCACAACTGTGATAGTTCTCCCCGTGGGGAGCCCGTCGCCAGGCCCTCGAATTATAGCATGCAAAACCTGTTCCTCCGTGTATACCTGCCCCTGCTGAGTATCCGAAGCTTCTCTGGACCGAGTGACACGTTGCAGGCAAAGCTTGATACCGATCCCTGTTAGAAATGTCGCTACCTCTGGGCTCCCAATAAGCGAACGTGAAAGTCGTTGAATTGCATCTAGGAGAGCTCCATCTGTGTTGATATTCACCCTTTCTCCGTATAACATACCCTTCACTAGCCGTATCGAAGGCCTGGACAGATAACGTTGTAAATGGATTTCTATAGGGCATCTTTGTAATATTAGCAACCGTAAAAAGGTGGATATAGATGCTACTAACCTCTCACCCGAGCTTAGAGTATTCCCATGAGCGCTGGAGCTCGAGGTACAACTGCTTTCTTGTGGTGCCCGGGACATTATCTCTTTTGTTTCCGGTCTGATGGGTTTCTTCTCCAGAGTCCGTCACAGTGAGTCTTGCTGTTTGCACGTTGTAAAACTGATTGTAGCAGGTATAATAGCATGCAAGCATATAAGCTAGGCTTAACGCTGCCTTATATAAAATCCTGTTGCTTCTGTTTCTGTCTTTTTCTTTCTCATTCTTTAACAGCATTCCCTGTCCTGGTATGCGCACTACAGTACTCTGGAATCATGGAACGGAATTGCAATCTTTTCACGCTTCTATGCATGCTTGACCGTGACGCAGTGAGATCTTTACACCTAATGAACTGTTTCAGCGACCGGCGCAGGTCAGTCTATTTCGACTCATAGTCATTAAAATAGGTTTGGTTGGACGGCCGGTAACTCTAAGCAGTATATCCTATCCTAGTGGCTTACGTAGAAGGCTAGTTGTGCAGTGAAAGCCTAAACTTATAAGTCGAGTGATATTCCCGTTTCCTTTAGAAGCGAGATCAGCATTCTATATTTTAAAAATCGGAGCTATTCCTTTAGTTTATTAAAACCTTACTCTGGTACGAATAAATGTAACCATTGCCAGAAACTAAAATAGAGTTTGCTGGCGCGGGTTAGTTCCAGTTCGGGTCATCTCCAGGGCACCGTTTCGATAATTACCCGTTGAGACATTGCCCCGTACCTCTCCACATCGGCATACTGTCGGATGTGCTAAATAAGACATGACATACCCCTCACAGTGACAAGGGAGCTTGATACCTACGTTAGCATTTTCCCATTTTCCCCCAGATATATACAATATTGCTTCTAATAAAACTCGCGGCTTTACAATGTCTTCTGGTATCTCGGAGGGTCATGGGAGACGTCATACCAGAAATTTGGAGGGCTTGCATCCTTGGCCAATTGATTCGGTACGTACTTAACGAGGGACATCGTGCATGTGCTGATTGCATCAAGGGAGAGCTTCTGCGACAAGGTACAACAGAAACGGCACGCTTAACTGCTGTGAAATATCTAACGGCGTGCAGAACAACAATTCGACTTGCACTATCAATTATTTCAGGGAAAGTTGCCTCATGCGTTGATCCAGAGTCCTCGAACTGTACTGGATATAAGAACTGGAGTTGGTCATTGGGCGATGGAATTTGGTTAGTCATTATTATAATTGCTATGCGCAAGCTCTAACCCCCCTGGTCTTACCTTTCCCGTGCCAGTTACCCGGCTGATGATTCCTCCCACCAGCCAAAAGAAACCCACATTCGAAGGTTGGCCCATAAGCACACACTACAAGGTGATCAGGTTGACTGACCTCCTATCCAGGTGATCCGCCTTGATTTCATCGCGCGGTCGGCCGAATCGTAAGTCGTTGTCCCACTCATTGATGGAAGAGGCTGAGCGTTGTAGGCCGCTGGCAAACGTCCAATCCATTGTCGATAGCTTCCTCAGACCACTCTGGCACCAGGCCTATAATCAAGTTGATCTTATTCATATAGGGGAGCTTCACGGAGATGTCCAGCTCTTGAGACACATCTTGATGGGAGCGTATGAGTAGGCACCTCTCACACTATCTACGTATTTCGCTATCTGACTAATATACTGGAGCTGCTGTGCACCCAATGGAACAATTGAGATCTGTGGCACTAGTGTTCGGTTTGAAGATCCAAACGGGGATACAGCTCTCCATCGGTTATATCGTGATATGAGAAGCGCGTATGAAAAGTCGGGTCGCTGCTTGGACCTTCCTTCAAAGTATGCATCAGAGGTAAAGCGCCGCGGGTTTGTTCACGTGGCAGAAAGGGCCTACGTCCTTCCATTGACCACCAGGGGTAATATTGATCTGTTGAACAATATCATTGCAAACTGGGCCGACGGATTCGAAGCATACAGCTTAGAGCTTTTAATAACGGAGCTTGGAAAGCGGTACCTGGAAATTTTCTCTGGTTATGCGTCTGCCCGCCAATCGCTGCGAAAAGGAGTGGATGGATATCTAGAAATGTAAGTCCCCCTTCCAAATGGATTAAAATAAAAGTCGCTCAGTGTCAAAACAAGTTGGATCGTTCAGGGCAAGAAAGGGCCGCATGATGGCCAAAATAACAGCCGGATGGTAGCGGAGTCCTTGGCTTCTTGAAAATCACGTTTCGTTCTATTCTCCTGTCTAGGAATGATGCTGTTGCAGCAGTTAGTACACGGCATTGATTCTACCTGTTAACTGATTATGCTCTGACAATCACTTGGGAAAAGCCAAAAGGTAGAATATTCGATGGTCAATAATTCACAGAGCTAGCGATTCCGAACAAGATCTAGCATAGTTGCTACGCAGAACCTAGGTACAACGGCATCTAAATACTAGTAGAGAACAGTCCACCGCATGATATGAATTCTATTGAAGAGCCTTACAGATGATAAGATGGATACAGTTTTCGGATATATTGAGACTTCATCTTGAATCCCGATCAACAGGCTGGCTTATTAAAAACCCACGTTGCAATATTCCACGTAGCAGCAGGAGACGTTTTTATGGCCTGTCAGTTTAAAATGCTTCCTGCCTCTAAGAGCTGACATACCGACAACCATATTACAGTCACTGCAGATGAAGATAGAAGATGAGTCAGGCGGGGCTGCTCGGGAAAACAGTCTTGGCAATTCTATCATGGAGCGAGTTAGCGCATTGTGGGCCCGGTGAGAAATATCCGGAGTACTGCCCATAAACAGGTGTGTACTATGATAACTTAGATTCCACTACCCACTTTTTCTATAGTCTTGCCTAGATTCTGTAGCTATAGCGGAACGCACCGGAAGAGCAAGATATCTTCAACGGAGACTGGAGACAGGGGTATAATGTTATTACTTTTCAATTTGTAACATACAAGTATTTCTATGCACTGTACTATTGTATTTGTCTCTTTCTCTCTCTCTCTCTTTTTTTTATATTTTTTTATTTTTTATTTTTTATTTTTTTATTTTTGGACATAAGCTACGATAGATCGTACGTAGTACGATCATCGTACTTTTCCAGCGAGAACGGGTTTTAGGTTTTGCTCATGCTTTTGGAAAAGATCTACTGAGAGACTCCTTCCTAATCGCCTCTAGTCAGTTTTGATGCTATATACCATGACATATAAGAGCCAATCACGGTTAAGCATAATGGATGATGAAAATATTCAAAGAAAGCCTAAGATAATAGAAAACAGGAATAAAAGTTACCGTGTATTGATATTATAGAGTAGATCGTTGGTTGAGACTATGCATTTTAGTAGATATTATTGTAAATATACTACAGGAGATAGACTCATATTACTAATAAGTCGGTATAAAGTACTGTACGTTATTGCCGATGGTGTAAACCGTAAAGAGATATTTCTTTGACGGGATCGACATTTATAATTCCCTGCTTTATTGTGATGGAAGGCTGCCAAGAATATATGAAGTATACCGCATATGGCTTAGCTTATAATATGTTCGCCTATTCTTTCCCGCTTACTCCGTACGGCCGGCGATGAGAGGATAGCGGGAAAGTGATCCACAGGTTAGAGCCGTAATTTTCTGGGAGTCAATCAGTTTCTAAGAAGATTACCACTGGTAACTTTCTAAATTATAAGTGTTGTAACACGTTTATAAAATAGTCCAATAAGGGGCGCTACAGGCAAAGTGCCCTACTTTCTTATTAGTCCAGTTGGATAAAACTTACCCAACCACAGATCAATTAATCGAAAATCTTTGTACCTCAAGGTATTTTGGTACAGTCGAAGTCCTTATTGCAGTCTTCTTCTTTATTATAATGGGATGTTATAACGATATTCTAACTGAAGAGTAAGAATCTGTTACTCTCCAAGCGTCTTCTAATATCAAGAGATGTACTAGCTCCAATTAGATCAGTGATTAATCTAATGCCCCTCATCTCGGGTGTTATGTCTCATTGTTCAGCACTGGAAATGGAACGCTATTAGCCTAGCACCGGAGATGGAGACTGGTTTTAGCGTTTAAGATACATTAGTGTTGGGGATATATTACCGCTACTAGTTGTATGAAGTCAGGAGGCGAAGTGGAATAAAACTTTTATTACGAATGAAGGAGAAGAGGAAAGTACTGTACTTCGTATTTCTTAATGAACGCATCAAGCGGGCTCATAAACAGAAAATATATATATTATACCGTCTATGGTATAGCATGGACACCACGTAAGAAGCGAGTGACGAGGTTTGGTTCGCAATGGTACCAAGTTAACCATTCTACAATACATTCTACCATAAATGACACAGAGTGTATAGTCAGCTGGTGTTAAGATTATTACGGGAATACCTGGATCTTACGTAACAAATAAAGCATAACAAACGAACATGGGGAGGATATAAGTATATGACAAGTGCGGAAAAGGATATAACAGTTATGAGTTGTCTTGGATATAGAGCAACCCACTAAAGCTGTTACTGCCAAATCGTCTGGTGTTTACGCCAATTGAACTTGACCATAAACAACTCGCCTAGATAGAGATTGTTAATACATACATCAATAGAAATTATAATAACGATCTTACCAATTCAGATATCCGTTTGTGCCACCAGTCAATATTGCCTCGAGTGCTGAGGAGCAGAGTTCACGAACATATTCCGCGCTGTACCCTAGCATCAAAGTCATCGGCTCCATACTCAGGTCCTCTAGACTTTGGGCCCAACATTGTAGAAGTGCCGTAGATGTAATCGTGTGGGTGGGATCATTGAGACACATGGGGATTCGGTGATTTAAGAGGGTGATATGACCAAAGCCTTTTTCCTGCATTGCATCCTCGTACATAGCAGGTAATTCCATGTTATATCCATATTGGCCGAGAGCGCGTTGTAAATCAGTATACCACTGATGGACTGGGCCGTTTAGGTCTTGGACCTCTACAACCCAATCGCCAAACTCGACCCAGGCTCCTGACTTAGAGCATCTGGGCACAGCGTCAGTGAATATTCTGATTCAATTAAATCATGCACTTGCCTGTTTATCCCATCCAAGATGTTGCCCAAATTCTGCACTCGATGCCCAATCTGCCCAATATGTACGTAATCAATGTTCCGAAAGACGTTATACCAGTCAGGATAATACTCAAAATCGTCAAGAACAAAATTGACGTTCGGAGTGCCTCTATGGGAAGTCAGCAGATGTCCTAGAGAATGACCATTCCATAACATACAAATCAGCCTGTACATAGATCCAGTCTATGCCAGTTACCTATAGGGTATAAGATTCTGTAGGATCGTATGGTCATGCTATAGGTGCTCACCGTTGAGTGTCTAAATACATCCGCTGTATCATGTTAGCAATGCTAAAAAGCTAATATGAGTCGTTCCTCACCGAAGTCAATTGCCCAAGCTCCGATCCCCGTACCGATATCAAGGACCTTCTCTGGTTCTTCAACAATCGGAGCATGGAAGAGATGTCCGTCAAAGTGGGCAAGCGCAATGTCATGCATATCACCTATTCTTTGTCAACGCAAGACGTTTCAATGTCTCTAGGAGGCCCACACTGTCGACCCCGCGCTTCTAAGTCCGTGGGCCAAGGATATCGGTCTTCCAGAGTTAGCTATTCATGAACAGAGCCATACCAAACAAGAACTAACCTAATTGTTCCCCATAGTATTCTCTTCCGTTCCTCTGTATTATCTCTACAGTATCCGTGTCACTAGAATAAGTTAGAAAGTATGAAACAAGTAGCTTTCCTAAAAGATACCTTTCTTTTTCTTCGTCTATGGACGACAAGCTATCCGTTGTAGATAAACTATCAGGCGAAAATACATCCTCGATCACAGATTCCGAATCAGTGAGAGTGATATCCATCGTAATTCACTATAATGGGTGAGTGTCCTAATATGACGGCTTGGGTGAGACAAGAAAAGATAAGACGGGTCGAAGGCTTAGGATTAACAATCAGAGGCCGATGAAAGAAGGAACAGGTTTAGATCGTATTATTTGAGTAAATAGGAGTGGGATGAATCTGAGGGAAATTCATTACCTGTGCCTAAGGATAAAAAATCACATAGTTGGTTTATATTTTTAAGGTGTTGGTGGCCGTCTACTTTTAGGCCTTTCTTCTTTTCTTGTTTTTTTATTTGTTTTTTATTTCATTTTCATTTTATTTTGGGGAAAGGAAGAAAAATAAATACGTTACAGGGGCTAGAAAACAATATTAGAACATCTCAAGCCAATCAGAAGCAGGTAAGCACTAAGGAGTCAGCTGCGGACTAAGATACTAATAATCTAATATACGAACGATATCAGATACTGGTCAGCTCTGCACATTTCCGGCCATGCCCCACTGTGTTACATACGGAGTACCCCGTCGGGTATGAGCAGCTGGCTGCAGGTGGGATACCTAGGGTAGTTCCACCCTTGGTTCAAGATATATGAATTTAATTACGGAAAAAAGACCGCGGTCTAAAATGGGAACATGGGTGATCATCTGCTCATAATAATCAGGTATATAAAACAGTATAACCTGGGCTAAGTCATTATTGGCTATCTCAATATCAATATCTTGCCGCTTATTTAAGCTTCCATGATATAAATACATTCGGACCCTGCTAGAACAGCTACTGTAATACAGAGCAACAGTAAGTATCGGCGTACACACCACTTTAGAATTATATACTTTAATATATCTCTACTCACATTAGTTGACCCGTCTCCAAGCTAAACTTGTCCATATGATGTTTAGAATTTCTCTACCGCAATATTCCATTTACCCTTTGCATACTTAGTCTTTTTTCTCACGGACAATGCATCGTCACGTAAGGGGGCCAGAATCTAATATACAGAGAACTGGTTAAGCCGGGTTTTTCTGGGAGGATTTACGTCTGTGAATCCCTTGCCTGATCACGAGAAACTTCCTATTCCTGGGGCATTGCGATAATAAGTCGTAGTAAGATCTGGTTATGTATAGTGGGTCGGACTACGAAGCCTCCGTAAGGTAAACATCTATGTAAGGCTTTGTAAAACTGAAGGAAAAGTAGCGAAACACTAGACTATATCCATCTTCTCTAGCTACCCACGGTATCCAGGTCCAAAAGATTATGGAAAGAGTACATACTTTAGGACGGAATGGTGCCTTCCTGAGCTCCTAGTTGGGTCAGAGAAACAGACACCCGAGCTAAGAAACCATTACAGGAAATGACAACTGACTATTGTTGTACCGGGATTGGATGGATCATTCTTTACAAATTATTACCAACGGTTTATTCGAGGGCCTGTGCAAAAGTACTCCAGAGTATTTTAAGAGTCCAATCAGAGAGCGTACCAGTTTATATGAATTATACCATCTACGGACAAGTGTCTTTTAGCTTCAAACTCTATTTTTACCAAGTTGCAAAAGTACTACATGTGGGACTTAAAATCAATTACTGTGTGGTATGCTAAAGAATATATGTTCTATACCAAAAGTGGAAATGCCCATAACAATTAACTTCCGGCCTTCTCCAATCTTAACTAATAAAGAAGGGGTGAAAATAACCCGCCTCTTCAATTTTTCCACACAACCCCTCCCCTGACTATCGATATGTCCCAGCGCCATGCCTACACAGCCGAGGATATCCTTCGTGAAACAGTCCAAGGGCTTGCATCTCTTAAAGCATTTTTCGCTTATGACAAAAGCGGGTTAGTCTTACATATGGCCCGTGCGGCAAAGCAAAACCGGAGATTGGGCTTGGGCTTCGGTCAGAAGGGCAAGCATCCTACGCTGGAGGACCTCTTCATCCGTCTACTTACCTGCCTTTGTTGGGCCCAGAGGCTAGAAGTAGAATGCTTTGCAACCACAATCACGGCCAACAGCTATGGACTTGCAGCTCATCTTTCCCGCTGTTATGGTATGGAGCACAACTACGTGACCGCAAATTACTTCCGTTGTGGACGACAACTCCGGAAGATCGAAAGGAACGTTGGGGTGGAAGATTGTTCGATAGTCCTCCTACCGTCCCTGGCGAAGCTTCTATGGCTTCCTGATAGAGAGATCCTTCGACTAATAGATCTCTTGTCAGGCAGCTTTATGCCTACCCTAAGTAGCAATAAACAGATGATAGAAGAATTCCATCAGTACCGACAGCTTTACAACACTGTGAGTAATAGGAGTGTGAGTTCCCTTTTCTGACTGCTGGTAAGCATAACTCATGATCATCTCAGCTAACGATATGTTTATAAGCCAATAGGACACGCATCCAAGCCCGATGATCTTAGCTTCTCCCCCGCGGATCAAAAACTATAAAGGGCAAAACAAAAGGCGAGGCAGCTTTAGCCAGGATGAGCTCTCTGGAGAATCCCCACCAAACCATCAGAACATCACCAGTGGGTCTGATTTCCACGAAGGTTTGACCCGGTACAGCCAGTAATTCAGTGTTGTCGAGCTTGGGCTCATACCGGGCCGCAGGCTCCCCCAGAAAACCAGGGTACAAAACAATGGATGCGGAGCCTCTTACCACCCCGAAAACCGAAAACCCATCTGCTCCGATGCCGGAAGGGTGTGCCATTCTATAATCAGATTGGCCATCTTCACCCCGAAAGATCACCGGTTGTTGTCGTTTCAGTTTGCTGAACTCCACTCCGAGTGTTCGTTCAATGGTTCCTTCGATCTAGCCTGATGTTAGCTACAGTTTCTTCCAGCCTACGAACAACATTACCTTTGGAGCTCTACATCTTAAGAAGACTTCGCATTCATTACCTCCAAGGCAGTGTAACGTTGGTGGTTCGTGATATTTTGTCTCTCGCTCATAGGCCTCCTCCACAGCCCTCACCACTTCTTCTGGTGGAGAGCCTTGCCTGTAGTATCTCTCAAATCCCAGATTCTGCATTGCCCACACTTCATCGCCATGCGGCTCAAAAATTGGATGGTGAGCGGGGTTCGGCATTTCATCCATATTGTGTGAAGTATAGATGACTAAGCAGATTTATCCACCGGAGAACTGTGTAGACATAAAAATATTTCAACACTAAATTAGAGATCGTAGCTGGGCACCTATTTATATTTTTCATAACACAATCCACACCGCATTGTTGCGCTATGCTACATACCCTATGCAGTGGATCTCGTAAATCAAACCCGAATCTCCGATAGAAGGTCTACCGCATACGTCCCAAATATCAGCTGTTGTGTAGACTAAAATAAGTGTTTGCTCTAGCCTCGTTGGCCCGGGCAAGCATACCGATACAAGTGGGTGGCTTGCGACCAGGAATGAAAAGCTTTGCCGATTCCGGGGCAGTTAATGGTTTCCTCCAACAGCGAATTCTAGATCAAGTGCAATTTCCAATCTACAACAATGTGATTCTCTCCTCAGGCCGATCACTCCATGACAGTGAAACATTATTGGGATTTGATTGTATGGTGGTTGTGTGCGGCATGTTGAAGATATAATCATATAATTGATCATCTACACGGTCGAGAGATATCGATGCAAGGGACCTCTCTTTAAAATACTACATCGGTCTTCATCGATGGTTTGTATGTAGATAATAAAGAAGTATTCGAAAACGCACTGGCAGTACTAATAGAGTGTGTTGGCCAGATTACTCGGTTCGAGACACAACCAAACACCTAAGGTATTTTGGCCGAGTGGCGTCACGCTTGACAGAATATGATACCTATGGCTCTCAACAGGTCCTTCCTTAGACACTTTATCTTATTATATATAATAGTTCTATCGATCCTCCATTATTTACGTCTGGTGATATACTCTAAAAGAGATAACCTTCTCCTCCATTTACCTGTGTCTAACCCCAGCTTTGTAGTGTTGAATAATATTATAAATGAATCGAAAACAGCACAGACTTGCTTCTCCGAGTGATATCCCAGATTTCTGGCTTTGGCCTTTATCTGGTTATACATTTATGTAGCGATATCCTCGTAGATATATGCTGGGAGATACATGATCGACTTTACTTATAACGAATATATACGTCGTTGGTAACATACAATATAATATATAATGTAGATGGGTTATAATGATCTTGCCAAGTTCAAAGGAGTGGGACTGTGTTCAGGGACCTCTTCAAGTGAAAGCTCAGCTTTCCGCGGGAGGAATAAATATCGGTATTAATATCATACAACTGTGATTGCGTATAGGCAGGATAGCATTTATAAGGTGGAAAAATCGAATTAACTACTTTAGGAAGCCATTGAGCCAATTAACTCACGTATAATTTAGTATATATAGTTGCACAGTGTAGTTCTTTACCTGACGTTAGTATATATAAGAGTACGCGGAACTGGCTCTCCATAAGACTAGCTACTACGAGCTCTCTTCCCCCCCCCCCCCCCCCCCCCAAAAAAAAATCACATGCTGAAGCGATTAAAAAAGACTCAGGCACGGTTCCGTACCTACAGGGAGGCAGGCACACAGCGGCTCAAAGTCATTAATTACCCCCTCTATTACCGGCACAAGGGCCCAGTTATCCATTTTGGTACCTAGCTAAAGGGGAAGCTAAAGCACGGGAGAAAACAAGGGATTGGAACATCGGAACGTACAGTAGGCATTTTGGGAGAGCTCAGAAAAACAAAGGTCCAGCCGAGGTCGAGAGTTTAACCAAGTATATTTTTTTCTAATACACTATAAATTAATTTCAAATACAAATTACGAACATGAATACCATCGTGCGATTTGTCCCGAACAAAGCCCCTGTCATGATAGTCCGAAACAACCTTGAATCTATATAATATTAGAATTATGAACAAGTAGTTATATCTCTCAGACCTTACACCCAATATGCACAGCTGCACATGTGCCCCAGTTTCTCAACTAGTACTTGGGAGGCATACACTGTCATTTTTTGAAGATAATGACGATTTTGAACAGGAT